AAGGGCTCCTGGCCTTACTACTAGGAGCAAGGACGCTATTAGGGGCTTCTAGCCTTTCTACTAGGAGCAAGGACGCTACTAGGGGCTCCTGGCCTTACTACTAGGAGCAAGGACGCTACTGCTCCTGGCCTTACTACCAGGAGCAAGGACGCTACTAGGGGCTCCTGGCCTTACTACTAGGAGCAAGGACGCTACTAGGGGCTCCTGGCCTTACTACTAGGAACAAGAAGATCCATCGATCTTTGTCGTTTGCAGATCGACCCGGTTGGGCTCCCGCCTCTGAGGTGCAAATCTCCAAAGCAGCTTGACCCTGGGAGGTCTTCAGCTCGACACTGGCACCTTTCCTCGGTGAAAAAAAAAGGCCAAACGGATGTGATCCAGCAGTTCCAAAGGAACAGGGGCAGGGGTGCCCCTGTCACATCCACTCACTGGATGAGACCTAAAAACTCCTTGTCAGTGACCTCTGGATCTGATCCCTAAAGCTTAGTGGCCTTCCTGCTGCCTCCGACCAATCTCTTGACAATCTTCAGTTTAATCCATACTGGTCTTTCAGCTTCCATGTGACATGTGAGTCTGTCCAAGTCCGAGTGTATGTGTCCATTTCTTTTGCTGGTCCCGCCAGCAGGTGTCTTCACCGCCATGCTTGTGCTTGCCGTTGTGGTGTTGTCGCTTTGTCTTGTTTTATGGTTTAGTCCCTAGGGCTGCAACTACGTCAGTTTCGAAGGTGATTAGGGTGGGTGCCACAGGGGGTCTAACCAGCTTCTGAGGACATGGTTGGAGCCCTAGGGATATTTTGCTGCAACTTCCTTTTGATGGTTGAGTCGAGGGCCAAACCCCCCCTCTTCTCGGGCCGAACGTGTTCGTCGAGCCAGCATGCAGGGGCCAGGGGATTGGCAGAACATGATGCGACAGCTTGAGGAAGACGAATTTCCCGAACGCCCCACAAGCGCAGTGAAGAGATCGCGGTGTTTGAGGATTCAGTGGCTACGCTAGCCGTTGCAACTTGCTCTGGAATTGAAGACATTATAGACAACGCAATTTCTTGGGAAGTTGAGAGTTGGACTGGCATTTGGGATTCCAAACCTGCTTTGCACGCGATTTGTTCAGCACAAAGCTTGTGGCACCCCAAAATTCTGTGTGGCCGTTGGGCGCCACAAATGCAGTCCAAACACGGTCGTCCCACATCCCCAAAAACCATCTGACCTGCTGTGTCCAGCCACAACGTGTCATTCCTGGTCCGAGCGTCATCACCAAGAAACGCGCGCAGTCCTGGTGCCCCTGGCGTCCAAGAGACCACGCGGTCGGTTCGGTGGGTCGGTTCTGTAAGGGATGAAGTTACTTCGTCAAAGACATCGGATCAGCCAACACCCCAAGGTCAATGACTCTGTGCACTTGTGAGATCACAGGCCCTACTCGGGTATGAATCAAGGTGAAACGCTCCTGCAATGTGAGTGTTCATCAGCTGTTCCCGTTCTTCCCCACAAAGGATTGTCTTATTATTCTTGATGACTCAACTAAGTCACTCTGAAGCTACGGTGGTTTTAGAGTAGATGGCACAGACCCCAAGATGCCCTTTATGGGGGTCCATATAAATCACCTTTTGGGGATTGTGTCATCTACTCTGAAACCACTGTAATCCTTCAGGATTGTTGAACATCCTTTGGGAATGTTGAATGTTCCAGCGTAAGTCAATACTCTAAGCTGAAAGCCAAACATGACACTCGAAACATTCCGACCGTAGACCCGTGGCAACACATGGGAACATCGGGTCATTCAATACAGCGCATTTGGAAGACCCCCCTGGCCCTAGCTGGGTAGACTGGTCTGTTTCTCGAACCTTCCAGAGGGTCTACCTGGCAGGTCTCCCTATTTTAATGCAAACCTCGTGCATGAAAGGCCTGTGAGGTAGAATTTATGAGCCGACAGGTGGGGCCACATCCGGGATGGTTTGGTTCCGCTCGGCTCGGCAAGCAGCGACCAAATGTCAGAGATCGAAGGTCAAACGACGTGTCTCCAAACGTTGCAGCTCGCAGCGCAACTGTGCTGGCCAAGTCTACTCAAACTTGAACATGCTTCCTGAAATGTTGCATCTTCACGAACTGCGCGTCATCACGGATGCCCTGAAAAACACCTACTCAGACCTACTCTGCTGCGAATACTCAAATACCATAGCGTGGTTTCCAACCGGTGCAAGATGGGATTTTGGATCAAGACCAGGCAACCCTCCCTATAGGATGTCAACGACTGGCCAAAGGGTTTTGGGCCTCTTGAGATCTTTGAGTGTTTGTTTTTGAAGGGCTCCTAAAAACATACGTGGAACGTGCAATAAAGTCCTTTTTGGAAGACTATAGTGACATATAGTGACTATAGCTTCCTCTACAAGCCAGAACCTTTCCAGTTCCATGCATGTGTTCTTTGAGGGGTGCACTATTTCGCGCACCCTCCACAGTCCGTCAAGAAGCTGACCTTCAGGAGGGCCAAGTGCAACGCCGACTTCTTCCCTTTGGCCACCTGGAAAGACCCGTTTGGCGCCGGGCCTGTGAGACATTCCAAGAAGCAGGTGAGGAGGTTTTTTGGTGGGAAGTCACCAAAAAAACTTTCAGATTTGGGTGACATATCTCGGTGAAGTCCGATGTTGGTGAAGTTCAAGTTATACAAAAGGTGTGTGACATGCTGGTGCGCGGGCGAGGGGATTTGGATGAGATGGGTGGGTCCAAACAACATCTTCCCCCAACTGATTCACCCAAGTTCGGCACAGAAAACTTCATCCAAGTAAAAACCGCCAAGTTAGCGACCCCGGCTGAGCGTTCCTGGCTGACCTGCAGAAGCCGAAACAGATCGAGGCGTTCAATCTGAGGGGCGATGGCATTCACGTGCTTCTTGACCACGCCGAACTCTCCTTCAAGGAGTCACGATCAAACATTCGATCAATGAACTCATGGGCAAATTGGGCACAAAATACCATTTGTCCAAAACCATTTGTTGAAGGCGATTCGCTCTATTTGTTGTTAAGTTATTATCTTTATTATCTATATATTATATTTATATATATATATCAACCGATCGATCTAGCGATCGGGAGGTCGGAAAATGACCACCCATATCGGCAGGTGCCCCCTCGCTGTCCAGCTGACTGATGTTGTTCTTCCGCTAAAAGACACACCGTGAGAACAACATACCTTTGACTGCTGATGTCAACAAAACAGCAAACAAATTGGCATGAATGATGATTGAGCATTTTCCGAACACCCGCCCTGGTCCGAACACCATCACTTCCTTCAAACATGGTTCAAGTCAAGTCCATCACTTCGATCCAACGGCCCACAATGACGAGGGAGAAAAAGAAGTTGCAAACCTTCATGAGTTCAGGGAGAACCACAGACTGCCCCTTGAGATGCCACCCACCCGTGAGAGTGAGACCGAATATGAGAGAAATCTTCAGAACGTTTCAGAACCACTTTGCAAGTGGACAGGTGTTTCAGCGTGCTGAAGCCTTGAACCCAGGCATCAGCCTCTCACCGAGTGATGAGTCTCTTCCATTGGATTCCACAACTCTTTGGGCTGCTTTGGCTTCTCCTTGCCGTAGATAGCTAAGATAGCTTCACCACTTCCAACGACGTTGTTCGCTTCGTCCGCTTCGTTTCGACCGTACGAGGACCGCGGTACGGAACGGACGGAACGGACGTCGCCGGACTCGCCCGGAGTCCGGTTCGCCTCCCGACGGAGCGAGAGAGGTTCGCTCCTTTGGACCCCAAGTGTCGTACGATCAGCTTCAAGACCTGCCGAGCTCTCCACCATCACCCGAGGTCCGAGGGAGGAAGGCGAGGAAGGCGGGAGCGACTTGGCGGGAGAACGTGTGTTTGTTTTTTTGGGGGGGGCGGGGGACATGGTGTCTGGGAGATGAGCTTGAGATGAGCTTGTTTGGGGTTTGTGGGGGGAAAGCAGGAAGCTGAATCGATCCCCAAATCATTTCGTTGGACGAAGTGAACGCTCGTTCCGGGACGATCTAGACTGATCACTGGTTCTCGAGAGCCGTTGTAGACCAATGCAGTGCAGCCCTTTTCTTGCAATCCAACAATCCTGGGTTTCACACAGTAAACATCAGTAAACTCTTTAATTTCACATGAACTATAGCTGTGATCATAGGCAGCAAGTCGGACCGTCCAATGGTCAATTTATGATTGTGTGATATTGAGTGCATACATAAGAAAACTATGATGACAAACATGGTTTGCTTCAAGTCCGAGTGCCCGTTTTCGGCGTGAAACACGGAGCTTGCAAACTCGGATCGTTTCTACGAATTTAGTGAGCTGTATTCAAGTTGTGCCAAAGAACCAGTAAACTCTTCAACGCAAATTCTAGTCATCTCCGGCCCTAGGGGGGCCCTAGATGGCCAATAATGGTTGACTCTTTTGACCTCGACCTCCAAACCTCTCCCCGACCTCCAAATGCCCCGACTGCGCCGCGAAGTGCAATGGGAGAAAGCCATCCATGGCCTCGCTGGAAGAGGACGGTGTAGTCGAAGTGAAGAGTCCAGGTCTCCCAGCTCAGTCCAGTGTTTAAACATTCTGCACATGTTGAGCAAATGGGCAGATGTGATCAAATCTCCTGTCCATCCAAATACTACAGCAAGATGATCCTTTTTTTGCATCACCAACTAACAACTCAAGAAACCGAAGAAACCAAACCCCAGGCTCCTACCAACATCTCTCCAAGTTTGGGGTTGTGGCATACTTTGACTCTGAACAAAAGGTTTTGGAAGCCTGGGAAGACTTATTTGGACTTGCCGCACCTCTTCTTCACAGGAAGGAGATGACATCATTTGTCGGTTGCTTTTCAACTGAAATGCAACGAGTCTACCACGATGTTCATGTTTAGTTGAAACCGTTTGGTTGTTCAGTTTGCCCCTTTGGTGTTCTGGAACCTTTGACATGTTTCTAGCAAACGAACCCTGAGGTGGCCACATACATTGAGTTTGGCCATTCGCTCAACTGGGCGGACCCTCACACAAACACACACACACACACTGGAAGATACAATGTAGACTCTTGATTCACCACCCCCCACATTTGGATTGTAAAACCTCCTCATTTTTGAGGGCCGGGCTTCTACATTGCACTCTGTGACCATCAAACCCGACCAGCTCCCCGCTTCAACATGGCCTGGCCTTGGTCCCTATAGAGCTAGAGCTGAAATCGCCAGGTTTTGGGCAGGTTGCGACCGGTGAAAATTCCCCTCACGAAATCCTCGTCGTTCGGAATCGTTGCGGGTGACGCGAGGGCCGGAGAAATCCAGTTGGACTTCTGGTTCAGACCGCCAGGGCCGAAATCACTCATCACCTCTGGAGCTGCTGGTGGCAAAAGGCAAAAAGGCCCTGAAAACCCGCCAATCAAAGGCCCATCCACACCCAAAACATTAAAACACCGACAGGAATTCATACCGACTCATCCGTGTCCTGCAAGTGGGGATCGGCACTCTTCTCCAGGAGCTTCTGCACCTCGGCGTTGTGGGCCGAATTCCGGCGGCGAATTTGGGTGCCTCGTGGTGAAACGACGCAGCCAGTGTGTGAGGTGGCCTCACATCAGGAGAAGGACTATAATACGCCAACATAGCCATAGCCTTTCAAAAGGAATGGCAATGAACCAATACTATACCATCTGCTTTTCTTTAAAGGCGGGCTGTCGGAATAGCGTATCAGAGGGCCTCGGAGCAAACGATGCATCGATGCATCAAATACATCGAAAATGTCCACAGGTCCTGCACAACGGCATGCGGATCGAAAGAGAAGATGTAGTCCAAGCTGGTGATCGTATCTATACCAACGTTGTGCCCCTGTGGAGTGAATCTCATTTGTTGTCGCAAATGGTCCCAGGTGTTTTGACCAGTTTCCTCCCTATCTGATTGAGATGTTCTAAGCTGGCTGGTCGGACATATCGCTCATCGCACATCTGTAGAGGTCTTCTCCCAGGGTCTTCTCTGTTCCCAATCAGCATTCGGACACCAAGTGTTCATCTAAAACAAAAGCCATGGATACCATGGGCCCATCCCGTCACACGCCCGGCCCGTCCTCTCTCGCAAAAGAGGCCTTCCTTGTATATGGGTATGATAGTCTCTTGATTATATGTCCAACCCTCGGACCTGAAGAGGTTGTTCCATCCTGTCTGCGGGGGTCGATCATAAGTTGAGTGGGGGATCTGCATGCCTGCACATCAAATCAAAATCGGGAGAACCCCCCAAAAGACCGACGACTGCTCACATTTGCCGACATTCATTGAAATTCGCGGCACCGCTGTACCAGAAATGTCCGTGGCATCGTCATTGCCAGCTCCTGCCTCCAGTAGGACTCGCACAACTTCTGTGTGGCCAGTGTCGCTGGCCAAGTGCAAAGCTGTTAAGCCATCTTGAGACACTGCATCCTTCTTAGCTCCGGCCTGCAGCAGCTCCCGCACCACATCTGTGTGGCAATGGAGACTTGCCAAGTGCAAAGCTGTGAATCCAGCATCCTGTTCTGCAACATCCCTGTCAGCTCCTGCCTCCAGCAACTCTCGTACCACTGCCAAGTGCCCTCTCAAACTTGCTGCAGCCAAAGGTGTGAAGCCACTATCAGATGCAGCATCTTTGTCAGCTCCTGCAAGAAGCAACTCCTTCACCACATGTAAATGGCCATCTTGACTTGCCCAGCGCAAAGCCGTTGAGCCATCTTGCCAAACAGCATTCTGATCAGCTCCTGCTTTGAGCAACTCTCGCACCACTTCCAAGTGCCCTTTCCAACTTGCCGCAGCCAAAGGTGTGTTGCCATCTTCGGTTGCAAGATCCTTGTCAGCTCCTGCCTTCAGTAGGACTCTCACAACTTCTGCGTGGCCAGTGTCGCTGGCCAAGTGCAAAGCTGTTAAGCCATCTTGAGACACAGCATCCTTCTTAGCTCCGGCCTGCAGCAACCCCCGCACCACATCTGCGTGGCAATGGAGACTTGCCAAGTGCAAAGCTGTAAATCCAACAAGCTGTTCTGCAACATCCTTGTCAGCTCCTGCCTCCAGTAGGACTCGCACAACTTCTGTGTGGCCAGTGTCGCTGGCCAAGTGCAAAGCTGTTAAGCCATCTTGAGACACTGCATCCTTCTTAGCTCCGGCCTGCAGCAGCTCCCGCACCACATCTGTGTGGCAATGGAGACTTGCCAAGTGCAAAGCTGTGAATCCAGCATCCTGTTCTGCAACATCCTTGTCAGCTCCTGCCTCCAGCAACTCTCGCACCACTTCCAAGTGCCCTTTCCAACTTGCTGCGAGCAAAGCTGTGAAGCCATTATCAGATGCAGCAT